TGAGCGCTCGGTATGATTGGTTAATACTTTCAGATCCAGCCAATCATGTTAAGAAATCATTGAGCGCTCAGTATGATTGGTTAATACTTTTAGATCCAGCCAATCATGTTAAGAAATCATTGAGCGCTCACTCAACAGTTGTGTTTGCTGAACGCTACCATTAGTTCACATTAGTTGCTCTCTGGAAACAAAAAGAGAGATTGAAAGCAACGGTTTTACGTTGTCGCACAATATACTGGAGCGAACTCACGAGAATTATTGGCTACGTTTATTTGATATTCGTATCGAGAAGCGCGACATCGCGGGAAAGGGGCAGCGGCGAGCTTCGACAGTCTCGATACATTCGAGTCTCGATGTCAACATCTTGCTCTTTTCATAAGAGCGGCACTTCAGATCGCTCATTGTCAGACACCACCTACGAAAAATTTCAGTCGTTTTCTACAGTTATTTTAAAAAAATTGACAAGTATTAATTATATGAAATTAAGTGAACACAGAAGTATGTGTCACCGTCAGTTCGGTCCCGCGCCTAAAAAATATATCTAAAATGTCTTTAAAGGCCACCAGCACGGGATTGTTGTCCCAGCGTACAAAGTAAACGACCATTAGATTTAACACATCAAACTGTTGGTGCAAATTATTAGTTGTGTCACGTTAATAGAATTTTTTTTATACATAATTTTAATCTGTTTAGGTTATATTTTAATTTCAATTATTTTACATTAACCTTTTTCTCTTACATAGAAAGTTGCATTAATAGGATATTTTATTTATAATCTTAATCTTGTTATAATTTATCTTAACTGTGAAAGGTATTTTCCTTTCCTCTTCATTACTTTTATACAATTCGCATTAACTCTGTCAGCATCGACTAAATAGTAATAAACTTTCAGGTAATCGACCCCTAACTAAAACTAAACAACAAATGAGAAAACGCCAATGCGGGTCACAAGGTAAGATGTAGGTAGCCCAACTTGTAAATCTTATATTTTTTTATTGAATACTATATTTGCTCATATTGAGTGCTAAATGTAGCATCAGAAAAATGCTGAAATGTAGCATTTTCAATATAACTACGAATCGTTTATCGATTTGACGATAATAATTCCACTTGTAAGAAAACTGCGTTATGTCTGGAAAAAGAAATCGGCGCGCAGAACAAATGTGGAAAGGAATTCACATTTTTAAATATAAGATTTACAAGTTTGGCTACCTACATCTTGCCTTGTGACCCACATTGGTGGTTTCTCATATGTCGTTTAGTTCGACTAAATAATCTTCATATTTTATCTATAGTCTGCCGACATCTGTGAGGAAAAGCAATTATTCATCGGACGCTGTTTCGCGCGAGAAATGGCCAAAGAAAGATTTGAAGCTGAAGCCGTTCGGGTTTTGCTGTTCTCTGGAACGTTTCGATCCTTCCGCGCGATACGATCAACGAATGCCACCCTACAAATCCTCGTTGATGGCAATCACTTCCGTGCACGAATGTCCGGTGGCCAAGATGCAAATGAGGTTTTCCATGTCCCGACTTTCCCGAGAGAAAAAGAAACTTCCGAAAATAAAACCATCGGACGTGGGCGATCAGCAACGGCGATTAAAGAATAGCGGACTAAGTTATTCCCAGATCGATAGAAACAGCCGCTATGTAAGGCAGTATTTGGAGGATGAAATTGCGTTGGCAAAGGATATCTTCTGGGCGGAAAAGCGAAGGACTTACAACGAGGAGAGTAAGAGGACGATAAAAATAGGAAAGAAGAAACGTGAGCCTCCTTCATTAAGCCTCGATAAAACTGTTGTCAAGTAGTAAAGCGATCATTTTTTAATGCATTTTGTAGTATATTATTCATTTAGCACGATTTTTTTGTCTTTTAATAGCGAGCGCACAAGAACGAATTAAGATTTAAAGAATCATAGCTGTTCTTGAGAATAGAAGTTAGTTGAGAAAATGAAAAAAAGCTTAGTTTAGCGAGATTTCAATAGATTAATGTCATTAATGTTTAATTTGTATAATTGCGTATATTATATTAATGACTGAAATATTTTCTTTTCAATAGGCAAGAAATACTCACTAAAATTGAAGACGTGTCCACGATGGTACCAAGACTTTTCCCCAGATCAAGTATGATGTAAAAAAGCGATTCCGAACAGATTTTATTTCGACATTTAAATAAAAGTTCGATTAAAATGTGGTGGAAGATGACTCTTTTTAAGATAACAAAATTAAGATCTTGATATTCAAGAGATCTCAGACCAAAATAAAATTGTAGTTGCATGGTGTTCTAAACGTTTTTAAATTAAGTTATATAAATTTGTAGATGAGAAATTTAATGAAACTGGAAAATGTAATGCGTACTGATTACGAAGAGACAAAGGCAAATGGCACGGAAGCAACATTGATGGCTATCGGCGTCGTTTCAACGTTGTTCAAATTAAAGCCGAGTACTATAAAAGAATTGCACGAGTCGTGCAACTTGAAGAGCGTTGATTTTCTGCAGAGAACTTACCGAATCTTAACGGGAAATGATTTCTCCAAAGAAGGACATAGTACATATATATGTCGCGTTATATTTTTATTTAGAATAAAAATAACAATGAATAGAACTATTTTTCATGCATTTTCTTCAATCATTTGTGATAATCATGTGATAAAATTATTTAACTCGCAGAGAAAGCTTACGATTGCAACGAGAGGATAATATTGTCGGCCATTGCGTTTTTGACACTGCCAGAAACTATAAAGGAATTGCATAGGAGATTGCCAGCAGTGACTATGCCAAGATTGCCACCGAAACGTAATTTTATAATATGAAGAGTTATGATTAAAAAGTTTAATCTACTATCTTAGATATTTAATTATTATAATCACAGTTATTTTAATTATCTCATAGTTATTTATTATTAAAATAAATTAAGATGTTGCTCTCACAGCTGTAATACATTATATTTTAGCAAGCCTAACAATATGCTTGCCGAGGCGTAAAAGTAGCTGTCCTTATAAGGAAGAATTATTTACGCGTCCCGATTGGGCCGGTTATAGAAATGCTTTGCAGAAATGGCGAAAACACTGCAAACTAATTGCAATTCCGAAAGTAATCTTTCCATTAAACCAAGGCCAGCGTTTTATTAATAACATCTCGGAGATTAAACGGAGGAAAGATACAGCTGAGCCTTCTGAAGAAATTAGTACGACGGAATTGCAAAAAATTTCCTCAGTTACGTACGATGAAAAAGGTAAAAATTAAGGAATTAAATACAGACTATGTAGTAGACTTAAACATGTGGTTAATTGATATATTTTAACAACATAATAAATAAGTACAGATTTATTAAAGTATTTAATTTATAAATAAATGTAATAAATATCATTCAACACATATATAGACCTGAGAGATATAGATTTCTCAAGAGAGAAAAGTTTGGAAATGGTAAAATCGGTAACTTCCAGCATTCGATCGTCAGACGACGGCAAAAAGTTTGGTTCTACAATTAAGATTTTGAGGGACAAATCCGGAGCCATAGAATATAAAATTGATGGTATAATCTCTTGCACTTTTATTGGTTTTTCTTAATTAAAAATACGAAATTCGTATAACAAAAATATAATAATATCTATAAGTATTAAAAGTTAGAAAAGTATATGCTGTACTATAATTTTCTTCAAATTTTTGAAAAACTAGGTCCACCGAAATCGCCAGGAATGAGTAAAAAATCTTGGCTGCGAAAGAAGGACGCTCATTACGTGATAGGTGGCATATCTACTAAGGATTCTCGTTATCCTGTAACTTATGAGGTTACAGGCATAGCCAATGTGACACCCAGCAACAGCGATGAGAGATTCTTCGCGGTATTAAAACTTGACGATCAACCCAAAAAGTCTTTTCCCAGTGGCAGAGAACATCTGTCAATAAATTGGCAAGGATGGCTGCAAAACGCTGACGAAGATTATAGACAGTTGGAGGAAACAACTGATGAGTTAGTCAAAAGTGTACAGGCAACTATAAAATCGGCGTTTCCTGGACCTGTTTGTGATAATTGCTGCTCGTGTCGACAGACCAAAAAGTTTTATGAAAAATTGCAACAAAACAAGACAGCGGATGTAGCGCAGAATGAAGAGAAAAATATGTAAGAAATTATTATATTAAGCTACATTTAGACAATGTTTTAGATTAAATAAGAGTCTTAGCAGAATGGTTTTAGACATTGTTTTAGGTTTTAAGTCTTTGTTTTAAGTCTTTGTCTTAAAATAATATGGTTGTTTGCATCTTTAAATACTGACACCCTTTCCAACGTTGGAGTTTTAAATTCTGGAACTTTTAAAATTCTCAGTCTTATAATCCTCTCTCTCCCAAATTTAAAGTTCTAAAAATTAAATAATATAATGAAATAAAATGTTGTTTGCGACAGACACGTCGCAGATTCGATGGCAATGCAATTCTCAGGACAGAATGCAACAGAATCGCCAAATAACCAGGTTGCTCCAGAGGATGAGGGCAAAACAAACATCATTATCAGTGGCGTTACTAAAGAGGCTGGGCAAACTCAATATCATATATCGGGTATTCAAAAGGACAAAATACACGTACCACGAATGCCTGAATTACCTCCGGCACCTCAGCCCATCAAGAACGTTCCATCCTGTTCGTGTGCTATTCAGCAAATGACTGATAAGAACATAAATCTATTTGTGAGCAAGGAAGATATTTCTTGGACGAAAGAAGAAGGATTGTGCCCAGGGAAGGAGTACAGACCAGATGAGCCAGCTGCATATTCTTGCAAGATGTATCCTGGAGATAAATTCTGCAGGCATAATCCTTTCATGAAGGAAATAATGAAGATGGAAAGAAGAAAAATAGAAAAACAAGAAGAAGAAGAAGAAGTGAAAGAAAAGACAGCATCTATTGAGGTTGGAAAAGAGACTCAAGTTTCAAAGGACATTACGGACCAAAAGAAGGATAAGTTCATTCCTGATCCCAATTATCCTGCTTATGACGAGCCTTGGAACATATCACGAACTGCGCCCGCGGCGAAAATAACAAAAACAGACTATGAAAGAACTTTGAAATTGACACCTCCAGCATGGCCTATAACTTCTCCATTAAAACCACAAGGGAGACAAAACGACATCTCTTCTTTGAAGGAACTGAGAAAAATTCAAAACGGTGCTTTAGATAAGGAAAACACTAGAAAAACTTACAAAATTTCCTTAAAATCGTCAAAAAGAAAAATCCAAAAAGAAATAAACGAAGAAAAAAGAGATGTGAAGAAAAAGAAAAGAGAGCCGATATTTCTAAAGAAGATTGCAGTTAATAAAAAAGGTACAAAATTGTCGAGTGCAATTCCTAAATCGAGGACGATATTCAAAACGGCAATGAAACAACAAACGAAGTCATCATTGCCGAATAATCCAACTAAGCGATCTAATAAAATTAATAAGCTGACCAAACGCAGCTCCGTGAAGAAAAAGAAAGATGTAGCAGACGAAGCTGAGGAGATTGATAATCGCAAGCGAGAAATGGCAAAATTGAAGAATATGTTTAAGTCTTTCGCGGGGACTTTAGATGACATCCAACCGGCAATTCTCCCAGGAGAGTTGCCAGCAATTAGTCAACGTAATCCGGAAGATAAAATTGAAGAAATAGTCGATTTTTTAGCTGCCGACGACGCGGACGAGAGCCATAGGATCAAAAAGGGACCTTGCGGTTGGAGAACGAAATCGGAGCAGGAACTTCCAGCGAAGAAAACTCTAGTTTATCTCTGTGAACCGGATTATCCTCTGGAGACGATGGCGGTTCCTCCTGGAGGACGTCCGTGCGAATGTAGAGAGAACAGAAATAAGAAAAAGATTCTTATGTATAATGTAAATGGTTTGGTAGAAAAGCAAAAACATTGGAGAAGAAGTAGAAAAATAAGATTGGAGGAAGAGAACAGGATTATTGACGGTGTTTATTATGTCACGCCACCCATTAGTCCCCGAAGAAGTGACGAATACGTTCCGGAATATGATTTTCTAGAATCGCCGTATGACATGTGCGTCAGCGAAGCTACAGATGAAAGATTGAAGTTGATAGAAAGGTATTCCGGACCCAAAAGCTTGGTGGAAAAGATACGTAAAAAACCAAAATCGTGCAATTGTAATAACGTCGACACAAAAGACCCTATCGATCAGAAGAGAAACATTGAGGAGGCTCGAAAGAAATTGATGGAATCCAAATCACCGGAGGAAAGATGGAAGATAGCGTTGAAGGATGCAACATTGATGGATTATTTCACGCAGCGCGATAATAACAGCCCTTGCTGGACGTCTTGCAAGAAAATTGCTCGTAGTGTAGCCAGGTTAGTAAGAAAAAAGATCGGCGTAACAAAATGGTAATTATTAAAGTCATAAAAATTGTATCACATCAGCCTTATTTAGTAGCTTTAAATTTGCAATTAAATTTTCAATAATGATGTAATATAATTATATATATGTGATATTATAATTATTCTTAAATAATAAGAATATATTTTTCTTGATTGAACTACGTATAAAATGGCTTTATTTAAGTAAATTGTCCTTGTTTAACACAATATATATTCTTTTTTCTGTGTAGGCCCCGTAGATTGAAAGTAGTAAAACCCGTATGCGAATGTAAATATGAAAGAAAGATTCTGGAGCGAAATGAAGAAAAAACCAAATGGAAGACACGCCAACAAAGATTAAAGGATTTGGAGAAGCAATCTTTCATGCATATTGTCGATCTGTCAAGACCGATGATAGAGGACAAGAAGTTTATTATATCAGAGGTGAAGAGGATCCAGCAAGGAGATAAGGGAGACGGCATCAAATATTGCATATCAGGTGTGGCAGAAGATATTTCTATGTCACCACCTCAGAAAATAGTCGATGGCTTGAAAATGTCCACGCCGTTCCAAACACCTGTATCTAGTGAGGAAGATATTTTACGAACTGCCGTTCCGCATCGACATTGGTCGCCAATGAACATTCCACCAGGTCCATTACCCAGCAAGTACGCCGTCTTGAAAGAAGAGAGGGAACTTAGAAGAAGAGCTAGAGATGAAGCTTTTAAGCTGATTTATGGTGATAAAAACGAGCGAGATGCATCTCATCCGATGACACGCAATGATCTAGAAGCACTCGACGAGCAGAAATTGTTCAAGAAAATTGAAAAGAAGAAAGATGACACGAAAGAAAGTCATACAAACTTAAAGACAGAAACATCCAAAGCGATAATGGAATTACAATCATTGAGCGAGAAAAATAGCAGCAGAACAGGACAAAAAAAATACACATTACATAAAGAAACTAGTAAAGTAGTTCGTGAAAAGAATGTCGGCGAGGTCGGTCATCAACAAGGTGTATCGTACAAACATTTAATCGATAAGACAGGAGGAAAAATTAATCATGAAAATAATCGCATAAACGGCGGTGGCGATAAAATATATATAAACAACAAATCTGATCTTAAACTGATAATGAAGGTACTTTCATGAATTTTTTAATCTGATAATGTTAAAATCGTTATCATCTACGAATGTGATATCAACATTGATCAGATTAGGATCTAAAATATACGTATGTGTATCTCAGGTCGAATTAAAGAAAATGGCTGCAGAAGGTTATACATTCGCCAAGTTACCGAAGTGTTATCTAATGCCGCAGCTTCAGGACTGGCTCATGTACAGGCAGGGCGTCGTTTTCTCGGAAACGGACAAAAGTACTTTCGGCAACGAATCGAAAATGTCGCTTCTTTCATTTCTAATCGCTTTCTACAATTTCTTATTTATTTTTTCTGTACCTAGAAAATTTGATGCGAGCGACCCGTGCCACTTGGGACTTGATAAACGTGAAAAAGTCGGAGATAGAAAAACCATCATTGCACATGACAAAACATCAACTGAGGAGATTGACTTATGATCAAGCCGATAAGATAAAGAAAAAGGTTGATTATCAATTATTACTTTCATTATCTGCAAATTTAAACACACATATTGTATACTTTAAACGATGCACATTCACTGTTCTTTCTCTCTTAAATTTCGCTTCCTTTTTCCGTTTTTGATTATTGTTCCCTATTTCGATCACATCAATTTTTAAATCACTTCTAAATTAATTTATCTCATTATTACTTAATTAAAAAAAAACTTAACTGTTTCGAGCAGATTGAGAAGATCAAGGAGACATTCCACAGCGAGGTGCGTAAAGCGCGCGTTTCTTACACCCGTATAATGTGGAGTACTATGGAACACGGAAAATTTCCTTCCACGTCGTTCAAGCGAACTTTCTTCACATACATGGCTAACAAAGAGGCTGATGGACACGTTTATAAACCATGGATGCCTTCCGAATCACAAGATGTCAATTTTTGTTGCTGACAAGTAATTCTTGACTAGTAATTTATTAGCACAACAGACGTTTAAACAATTCAATTGAATATAACAAATAATTCTTAAACTTTTTAATAACATATTTGAGTATTGTACATTGTTGATATTTTACCCGCTTACAACATTTTACTGAAAACCATGTAATATATAATATGATAGATTATAACCATACATATAATGATATGTTCATCACATTATCTTATATAACAAAAATAGTACACGCGCGCGCGTTTATAACTTATTAGGGGCGTTTTCCAGCAAGGACAGAGTGTAACACAGTGAATCGTTTCATCCTTGTTTAACATTGGCGAACAAGGATGTAATGATTCACAGTGTTACATTGTGTCCTTGCTGGAAAACGCCCTAGATAATGCTGAAACTTGCCTTAAAAAAAAAAGAAATAATGTGATAGATACGGATGGATATATAAAGCTATTTGAACAGAAAACAGAACAGAGATGTAATTTTATTTCGTTCTGTCTTTTACTAAAATATTATGAAGCTCTCTTCTATGTTCGCCGATGACTTTATAAAGTTCTTCGAAAAACTGTTTGGCTCTTTGTTCCAGAAAGGTATGTCTTCTTATAACTGCATCTAATTTGTCTTGTGCCTCTTCTATCTCGAGATCTTTTGCTTGTAGATCTGTCATCGCATCACACATTTCTTTAATTTCGATTCTTACAGTTTCTAACATTTTCTTATAGCTGGCTTTCTCGGTTTTCAGGTCTGCCTTGATTTTATTAATGACAGAGATCTCTTTCTGCAATTTGTCTTTACTCGGGAGAGATTCAATTTCTTTCTGCACTTTCTTCTTTTTCATGATTTCAGAACGAATACAAGAATCTATCTCGGCACACTGCTTCGTCAAAGTTTCCTTGAATATTTTTATCAAAGAGACCTTTTCTTCCATTATAGCCGTTACCTGTAAATTCAAAAATTCTTTTTCCGGGAGCTTTAATTCAGCGAAATTTAGACCAACATCATTATCACTGTCCATGAAGACCTTTTTATTATGGGCTAATATTGCTTTACTAAGACTACTATTGAGGTTCGCTAATTTGATATCCAAAGTGTACGCTTCCTTTTGGTACTCATTCAAGTGCTCGTCAAATTGGTGTATGTAGTTTTGAATCTCCATGCACTCTTTAACGATGCTTTCCTTTTCAGCCTTAGACATTGGTTGATTCTTCACAATTGAATGCAATTCTTTGTACTGTATGTTTCCTTTCTGAATTTGTTTATTCAAAGCCTTACATTCTGTATTTAATTGTTGTGTCTCGGAGCAAAGCTTATTTATATTATCCTCCGTGGCTTTAAGATGATTTAATTTTGTAAATTCTTTGGCCTGCAAAAGCGCTAATTTTTGCTGTAGCTGTTCAATCTTTTTATCATATTCTATTGACTCTTTTTCTTGCATTTGTAGCTCAATTTCTTTCTCTTCCAATTCTTTATGCGCCTGAACTAAATCGTTCTCGGTAATGCCTTGTTGAATTACAACATTCTTCAGATATTGCTCCAATATTTCCGCTTCGTCATCAAGTTTTTCGTCATTCCAAGCTCTGTAGCACTCCAACAGTGTTTGAAACTCCATGTTGAAACCTGCCTCCTGATGCTGCGTTCCAACGTACGGCAAAGTTTCCAGTTGGTATCTCTTGATCGCGAGTTCTTTCACCTGGCACGCTTCCACCAGCCAGCTGATCCAACCAAGAGCATGGGGCCACGAGTGCATCGTATTGGCAGTCTTCAGCCACGATTTTGTCATCATACCGGGGTAGTGTAGCTTCTTCGCACATTTCGGTAATTCATCTGTGTAATTTGTCATTGTGAGATCGTGCTTGACATCCAAGTACTTCAATAAGAAGCTGGAGACCTCCATGAACATCTTCAATGTAAGCGGCTTCAAACTGCCGTTGCTGTTTAGCATCGTCGAGCACTGATTTACATAAAAGAACGAATCTATTTTGTTTAACATCGCCATCTGATAGGCCTTGTCCGCCAGGGGCCTTGTATCCTTCCTGGGACCCTTAATTCCCACGCTGCTACCACGGTCGCCAGACGGCGATCGTTCAGTTGACAACGGTGTGTGAAGTCTGTTGCAACTTGACGTAAACGCTGCGCTTGGCACACTAAGCTTGGTGGAGAGTCTCACTGGGGTACGTATTGGAGTTGTCGGTTGCTGTAGTGGAGTTCTGCCTGCACATACACACACCACGCACACACATACATAATTTAAATGGAAATCGAAACGATCTCGAATTAAATTAAGTTAAACCTTGGCTTTATCGAGAACGCGTTTCTATGTCCTGTGTTGGCTCATACCAAGTAGTTAGAAAAAAAAAATAGAAATTTTGAGCGCCTTTTTACCTGTCATTTTCAAACAAGATTTTCTGCCGAGAGATCCCGCTCGGTCGCTGGAGAAGCTTCGAAAACGAGCCCTGGGTATATGGGAGGTTTCACCGGTCGAGATACCCTTCGGTTTCGACGTCCTTCGTTGATCATTCCGAGGGAAGTTCTTGTCCTCCCGCTCGACCGTGGACTTCCTTACGGGATTACTGGACGATCTACGTCGGATCGAACTCGGTTGCATGGTTGTTCTCGCGAGGAAGGAGCAAAAGTACGAAGCCCGCAAGCGTGCTACCTCCTACAGGACTTGTGGAAACTCGTTAGATTGCTAAATTCGAAGGAATTTGAATCTTCAGTTGTTTATACAACGTCCAGTAGTGTCCAATCCAAGGCGGCAAAATTCTCTAGCACGTTTCACTCACTTTGGCCAACTTCAGCGTCAAAATACCAGACTTATCGGCTGCTCTCTCGCTACACATGCGCCAAAAACCCGGCCCGTCTCCCGTCACTGGGCTAGCTTGACGTTTGTTTGTTGTTAACCTCAAATTATTTCCGCGCATCACCTAGAATAAGTAACAGAATGTTGAAAAAGATTTCATGATTAAAATAAACAGATTTTCTAGTTGAAAATCAAGTTACTTAGAAGGGG